TAGATTTCAATATATAGCAAGCTAGGAATAGAGAAATAGCGAAAAAACACAACACCGATTTATATCTATATATATATATATATATATAATATAAAAGGCTAAAACAATAATATTCCATGGTTATATTTTATTACACTGGAATCGTAATCACGATCCAAATCATTTTTGATTACGATTCCAATGTAATAAATTATAACAATGAAATATTAGTGTTTGAGCCTTTATATTATATTCTTAATCTGTCCTGGACATTGAGTTCTACCTGGATTCTATCCTCTTGGGAATATATATATATATATATATATATATATATATATATATATATATATATATATATATATATATATATATATATATATATAAACTGTGACTATTATAGCTATATAGCGAGACTCTTCGCAAGAGCGAATTGAGTCACTGTCGGTCACTGGGCGTGTTTCTAAAAATAAATACGCTAAAATCCACCTTCATCCCTACCGGCTTAATGGTTAGAATCTCCGACTGACACCAATTCAGTCGCGTTTCGATTCTAGCTAGAGGCAACCGGGTGTCTAGCCACCGGATGAGCAGTGAAACAGCGAAACAGTCTGTCTGTGAATGACGTTATATATATATATATATATATATATATATATATATATATATTGACCACTAATATTATCTATCTATATATATATATATATATATATATATATATATATATGGAAAATGACTAAAATCTATAAATTCAGGAAACACTGATACGACGGCACTAATAAAAATCACTGGAAAATGTTAGAGATGAAACCAAAGCATTTCATAGAAAAACTCCAACCGAGATGTAAAATCTCTGGAAGAAACAACATGGCAGAAGGTAAAGTCCACTGACTGAATAAAAATATAATGGCGCGATCAGAAAACCTCTTGAGAAAAGAAGGAAGAACATTATACTTGCGATTATTCTCAACCAAGAAACTTCTGGTCATCCATTATTCATGTCTGAAGGAGGAGGTAGACATAGAACAAAAGTAACTCGCGCCATTTTCATGCGACTGCTTTGCTTTTCCGATTTCTAGATTCATTAACAGTCTTAGAGTTCCTACTTCATTCCACCGGAAACATTTGCCAAGATGCAATTCCGATATCCGTCTTGGAGGATCGCAAACGCTAGAAGGCAACATGAAAACAGGAAAACTAGTTGAATTAATATTCGCAGGCCATAAAGAAGATGTTCAGTGAAGTGTAACGGATAACGGCTCGGAATAAGAAATCGAGTTCGAATTCCAGTTGGGGCTAATTACAATCACTTACCCTTGGGAAAGGTATGAGTTCATTCCTACACCACCCCCAACTATATGCTGAATTGCAGGGAAGACTTGGTCTTTCTGCGGTAAAATGGTTGCCAGCCAACCCTCGTCTTGGTCTCAATAATATTGGATGAACGTCTTATAAAACTAATTACTGAACATTGATCAAACATTTTAAATGAAAGTCATCTTTATAAATATGTCTTCAATAAACATTAATTTTTGAAATATTTCTTTTGTAACTTTGACGCATAAGTCAAGTATAAATGATGTTACATTATTTATTCTTATTTTTATGAATTTTTATTTTGACAATGACTAATAAAATATACGAAGCGCACAAGTATTCTCGGACATTTGAACAGTTTTTATGGGCACGGTTTGCAACCTGTCTATCGCACAAAGAAATGACAACCTACAGCGAGAAATCTCCTGTCTAGTCAGTAATGAATCGATAGAGAAATCAGTCTATATTTATGAGATGAGGTATTATGTCCACTATTTACATAATTCGGACTATTGTCCTAATCTTTGTCGCCATATTTATTACAACGTTTCGGCCTGTCAGTATCTTTCTATATTTTTGAGATGAGGTATTATGTACACTATTTACATTATTCGGACTATTGTCCTCATCTTTGTTTATATATCTATTACAACGTTTCGGCCTTTCAGTATCTGTCTATATTTCTGAGATGAGGTATTATGTACATTATTTACATTATTCAGACTATTGTCATCATCTTTGTTGCCATATTTATTACAAAGTTTCGCCCATTTCAGTATCTGTGTATATTTCTGAGATGGGGTATTTTATAAACTATTTACATTATTCGGACTATTGTCCTCATCTTTGTCGCCATATTTATTACAGCGTTCCTGCCTGCTTCAGGTAGTTGTTATTTCGCTCACTGGGGTGGACTGTTCTATTTTCACGTGCCATGTTTAATGAATTTCAGTTATCTGTTATTTCCTGTTAATTCCCCTTTCCAAGTTCTCCACTGCCTTAACCAGGTATTGAACTCACACTCTTTGGGTCCTGTCGCTGGATCTAACTAATGCCTTTATCCTCTGTGCCATGTGTCCTAGAGGATAGAGAAATGAACGCACAAGCATCTATCGCATCTAGCACTTAACTGACTTATAAAAAAAAAAACTCTTTGTTGAAATACAGACGCTAGTCAATCTTCTTTTCTTTTTATGTGATATGTCCTTTCAGGACGTAGGCGATCATGGCTCTCCGCCTCCATCTATCACTTGCAGCTCTCAACAAGTTATTTCCCTCTGCTTCCTCACCCACACCACGTTCTGTCATCCACTTGCTTAACCCGTTACCTGCCATGAGCTCCATTTGTGGCTCTGTTAAAATTAAACTCACTACATGTTATTCCTTGTATTTACATTGAATTGCTTACATAAATTGCATTTGCAGAGGTATATTTTACAACACTTAGCCTTTAAAGTTTTTATTATTAGCCGTAAGAAGACACTTTCTGTCGTCATTTTACATTTCACGAGTTGAAAAATAATGACTATGTTGAAAAGTATTTTTTTATTATTTCTGATCAATATCATTTTTTGATGTTTTATGCACATATATATTTAATGTTCTAGATTCTATAAAAATCGACAATGGTAACTACTGAAATTAAACATAAGGAGAAATAAACTACTAAGACACCTGTCTGGGCCAAAAATGCGCATTAAAAAAAATTGACAGTTAATGGGTCCGTCACGCATTGTTTCCCTTGTCTCTCTTTCTTTCTATTCGACCCGTGAGTATCAGATTCTCCAGGCTCTCCTTCCTCATTATGTGTCCCAGAAACTTCAGCTGTCTCTTCATGATATTTAGTATAAGCATCCTCCTTGTTTACAATCTATGAAGAACGCAAGGACAAAGTCCTGTTGCTTAGGGTGTTGTTGATTGATTGATTTACTATTAACGACCTATCAACTTTAACATTAAAAATATCTTGAAGATAAAAAAGATTTTCCAGAAACAGCTTGCACTATTTAATCCATAACTGGATTCCTACTTTTTGCAAGGTAGATCTTTTATTTGCGCGTAAGTGAATGTAAAATGCGCGACTGGAATTCGAAAACGTATTTCCAACTTTAAATTCCGAAGCGCTTTTTATTACATCATACACACGACCTTGTAGTGAGTCTAGCATCTGGACGAGATCTCATCAGCATGTTTTGGAACTGCTAATTGCTTAGCAAAATTATCAATGATAGCCCATTAGTATTCTGAGGTTACGGCTCAACCTAAATATCCTTTTCATGCATGGGGAGTGAACTAACTGGAACAGGAGATAGAAAAACAAGGCATATGATCTGGAAAGAGACGTATATGTTTAATGTAAAAGACCAGTCGTTCCATTATATTCAACTGCGTGCCAATACCCTTGGTAAAGGTATGGATCCTTTTTTACCCATTAACTATGGTTAAATAGTAGGACAGACCGTGTTCTAAATCCTTGGATGGAAACTGGTCTATCACAAGAAGAAATGGTAAAAAATCTGCCTTGTCAGTCATGTATCGAAAGATACATGATCGCCCATGCGTGTATCACGCATGACACACAACTGACTGACTGTAGAAGACCAACGATTTTTAGATCGAAAGAGGCAATTTTTTAAGTGTTGTTAGCTGAATTGGAATGAAAAGAAATGCAGGGAAATTTAAAAATAGAGAAAGAGAAACGATATCGACTTACCTGAGGAATAAGATTGGTTTCTCGAATTTTAAGAAGATGGGGAGGATGGTTAATTGTCGTTTGAATAACGATGTTGAAAAAGTGAAACATGGAAATGGAAGCACAGCATTTTATTCAACTGATGATAGCGAAGGTGTCTTGAACTTAAAAGAAAATGAAATTCCTGAAGATGAAACAATGACATTTCTGGTAAACATATTTCGCTCTTGAAATTCCTCGTTCGGATTTATAAGTCACTCAATTAAGAGGTTCCATTTTAACACTTAGACGGGGGGGAATTATCAAAAGATATGATTACGTTTACAAAATGACACTTTGTTATAATATACAAAGCCCAATATCAGCATCACAATACCGATTCGAATCATACCAGGCGCATGCATTACAGAATCATTTGTGCGATAAAGTGACATGGTTTCATAGTAACAGCGAACTACAGGTTAGTGTAGACAGTCTGTGATTGAGGGTGTCACCAAGATGTTATCCCAAGTCACCTTAGAGGGCTCTGACTTCAGATATAATTACAACATTCTCGGCACCCAGCCATGATAATCTCCCTGCACTCCTGGTCATGAAAAGAAATACACCGTGTGGTAGTCCCTATGAGGTATGCCCAAATGGTGAAGAGCCGGCAAATGACATGCAAATTTGTTGCATTGAATCGAATAATTAGTGGAGCTAGTTTTAATTGACAAAGACACAACATGTAGATGTTAAAAAGTTCAGATAAAATCAGATACCTTGGGCGATATGCCTGGTTATTGCGTCAGAGAATTCATTGTTGTTGTTGTACTTATGATGATGGCATATTATCGTGATGTGTATCTGGTGAATCTTGAGTACAAAAGAATTTCAATTTCATGACATTTGCAATTATATTTGAAATATCAACTATTTTATACCAGAAGTCATTACTTATAAATATGGCAGTAAGAAAGATGGTGATTTTTCCCATTAAATGTTTCCAAACGTGAGCGATCTAATTGTCGATTAGTTTCAATGGTTCGATCGTCCTAATGCAAATCATTTGTTTGTTGAAAGGCGGTATTTGAAAGCTAACATTTCTTTTTTCTTTCTTTCTAATAAATTTCTTGCCATTCAATTTCTTTCTTTCTTTTTTTTAACATTCAATTTCTTTTTTCTTCTATTCAATTTCTTTTGTCTTTCTTTCCATTCTATTTTTCTTTCTTTCTTTCTTTCTTTCTTTTTTCTTCCTTTCTTTATTTTTTCTCTCTTTCCATTGAATTTCTTTCTCCCTTTCTTCCATTCAATTTTTTTCTTTCTTTCTTCCATTCAATTTTTTTCTTTCTTTCTTCCATTCAATTTTTTTCTTTCTTTCTTCCATTCATTTTTTTTCTTTCTTTCTTTCTTTCTTTCTTACCATTTATTTTCCTTCTTTCTTTCCATTCAATTTCTTTCTCTTTTTTTCTCTTTATCTTTCCATTCTATTTGTATTTTGCTTGTTTGTTTTTTCTTTCTTTCTATTCAACTTTTTCTTTGTTTCTTTCCATTCACTTTTTTCTTCCTTCCTTCCTTCTTTCTTTCTTTCTTTCTTTCCATTCAATTTTTTCCTTCTTTCTTTCTTTTTTCTATTCAATTTCATACTTTGTTTCTTTCATTGACATGATTTTAAGATTCTTTTTCTTTTTGCAAAGCCTTAAAGTTTTTCTTTCTATCTTTCTCTCTGTTTCATTCATTCATTCTTTCTTTCATCATCTTTAAATGATTTCTTTCTTTCGTTATGTTGCTTGCTATTTTCCTATCGTTTTTTCCTTCCCATTTTATTTCCTTTTACATTCATTTAGTTTTACTTTCAAATCAAAAACAGTTTTTTATTTCTATTTTTGAAACTCTTTCATTCATAGATTCTGTCTTCTTTAATCTGTTAATATTTCATATTCTACAGATTATTTTCCTTCTTGCTTTCTTTACCATTCCTTAATTTTACCTTTTCTTCATTTACCTTTCCTTTTTATTTTCTCTTTCTCGTCTTTTATTTTTTTTATCAATTTTTTCTCGACCCCTTTTTAATTTGCGTCACATCTCGAAAACTGGTTTCTCATCAGTATGTCTTATTCTTTTACCGAGGTAATTTTATTTCTATGAGAACGTAACCAACTGTAACACCAAAACCATGTTTTTTCCCCACTTCTGTTTTTCTCTCTCTTTCTTCTGCTTCATTGTAAACAAAAAAAAATCTCATCTTAAGGATAACTTGGCGTGTAAAAATGAAAGGTAACGAAGGAAATATCAAACAGTAGCATAACTCTTTGCACCCAAAACAATTATTCCAACATTTTTATCAAATATTTTTGGCGAGACAATACAAGATAACATTTTGCACTTATATAACGAGACTCATGTAAATGAATACACCAGAAGAAAAATACTAATATTTCCAATTAATTATGGAATCTAGCAAAGATCAAGATATTAGTTGAATATGTCCAAGAAAATAATTATTTCTAGAGTGAACCTGTCTACGTTGAATTTTGGAATGCAAAAAGTTCATTACCTGATTAATTTTGAAATTTCTTGGTACAGAAAAACGTGGCTATTTAACCTGTCTCAGGTCATTTTCAGTCCGGGTTAGTTTTTTTAACGCCACAGAACCAACCATTTATTTCATTTTACTCAATATATTAGAATCTTCAGTATTGCAGGAACAAGACGTTTAAACTGTCTATATTTCTGAGATGAGGTGTTATGTACACTACTTACATTATTCGGGCTACTGTCTTCATCTTCGTCGCCATATTTATTACAACGTTTCGACCGTGGTACGCTCCGGCCTTCTTCAGGACACATGACACTATGGATAAAGGCGTTAGTTAGATCCAGTGACAGGACCCAAAGAGTGTGAGTGTGACACCTTGTTAAGGCGGTGGAGAACTTGGAGAGGGGAATTAAGCAGGAGATAACTGATAACTGGCATCCATTAGACATGGCACGTGGAACTAGAACAGTCTACCCCAGTGAGCGAAATAAAGAGTTCAGTTCGACATTCCAACCACCTGAAGGTGGTAAAAATATCATATATATCTGATGAAGACCGGAGCGTATAACGGCCGAAACGTTGTAATATATATGACGAGAAATATGAGGCCAATAGTCCGAATAATGTGAATAGTAAAGATATTAAACATTAAATATTGCTTTGTTTCATCTATAATTCTCACATCTCTATATTTTCTTCTAAAAGTAATCCGCAAACAATTCTTCCTTCTTATTAGTTGTTTTTCTACCTTGGGCGTGTTTTTCAATAGGCAAAGTATTAAGAAACAGAAAAATGTTGTTATACACAGAGAAAAGAGTGGTGAACTACTAAGCAATATATATATATATATATATATATATATATATATATGTATCTTCACTTATGACAATGCATTCTGAACAATCTCTTCACATGAATAAATGTCTCAAGGTCACAGAAATGTGGTCCTCTATAAAAAAGAAAAAAAAAAAAAAAGAAGAGAACTGATACTGAAAACCAGAGAGAGAGAGAGAGAGAGAGAGAGAGAGACAGATTAAATGTTGGTGACACATAATGTGGAAGGTCGGCTTGGACAATTTTGAAGGAAAAAGCAGTTCGGTACCAATCGGACGAGCTTATATGAATTAATGGCAGAACGGTGAATGGCAGAGTTGGTAAAAACATATTGTTAAAACATATCTCCCCTCCATATATATATATATATAAATATATATATATATATGAAATATCATCTCCCCTCCAGTAATCCTGTCTAAATATAACCTCTGCAAATATCTGTGAGTTGTTGAACGATTATTTAGTTTGGTTTGGTTTGGTTTATTTTTTTTACTGCATATCAACATCAATGGGTTATTTAATGCCGACAACATTTTTAGGATAGATTCGTATGAATAGAATATGTATTCTTTGGTTTAGATTGGTTTGGTTTATTTAGTTTTACAGCATATCAACCTCAATGGGTTATTTAATGCCGACAACATTTTTAGGATAGATTCGTATGAATAGAATATGTATTCTTTGGTTTAGATTGGTTTGGTTTATTTAGTTTTACGGCATATCAACCTCAATGGGTTATTTAATGCCGACAACATTTTTAGGATAGATTCGTATGAACAGAATACGTATTCTTTGGTTTAGATTGGTTTGGTTTATTTAGTTTTACGGCATATCAACCTCAATGGGTTATTTAATGCCGACAACATTTTTAGGATAGATTCGTATGAACAGAATATGTATTCTTTGGTTTAGATTGGTTTGGTTTATTTTGTTTTACGGCATATCAACCTCAATGGGTTATTTAATGCCGACAACATTTTTAGGATAGATTCATATGAACAGAATATGTATTCTTTGGTTTAGATTGGTTTGGTTTATTTAGTTTTACGGTATATCAACCTCAATGGGTTATTTAATGCCGACAACATTTTTAGGATAGATTCGTATGAATAGAATATGTATTCTTTGGTTTAGATTGGCTTGGTTTATTTTGTTTTACGGTATATCAACCTCAATGGGTTATTTAATGCTGACAAAAATTTTTTTATTGCTGTTAATATTTTGTTTTGTCAAAAATCTGTTTCTGGTAATATATTTCCTTCAAAATTGTATTGCTGGTAATATTTTTTTCAAAATAGTAATGCTGGTAATAGTTAACTATTTTCCCATAGCTGGGACCCTAACTGGTGCTACCAACCTGGGTCAGGGTCGACCTGGGTACACCAGCAATTAAGAGGTGGTTCCACGCTCCTCAAAACCTCCTGATCAGAGGCCTTGCTGCTGGATGTATTTTAAAATCTTACTGAGGACGCGGATGTAGTTTAACGTCTTAGCCAGGACGAGGTTATTTTGTTTCAGATGATATTTCGTAGCACTGGCTGCTCGGTTAATTGTTGTCTATTCTTGACTTATGCGGCTAATATTTTCATTAGCATTCGAGATAAAAAAAAAAACTAAAAAGAAAAACAAATACATATTATATTTGGTATTTACTCGACTCCCTAGCAACAGTAGCTGGATAAGGCCAAAGGCCATTTGAAATCAATATTATAAAATTATATTTTAATTTACATTATAAAACCTAAACTGTCTGCGTGTGATTTTACATGTGCCTATGTAATGTATATATTGAATGAAATGATTGGACAGAAGGTTTAATGTGGCAATCATCTCGACACATATATTAAATTTCTTCCTGTAGAAAAAACAAAAACAACTGATGACACCTGCAGTGTGGATCGTCGGGGATTTGTGTATAGCCCAAAAATGCGTACCTACAGACGCAAGTATAAAGACGATCACCATTTTCCGTATATATATATATATATATATATATATATATATATATATATATATATATATAGCCATTGCACTCATTGACACACCAAATCACCAGGAAGCCAGTGATATTTTAATATTATTTTGTGAATTTGAAGGAAATAACTTGTTTCTCCAATTCCACTTTCTGCGCTGATAACCGGTATGGTAATCGAACATCTTTTAACCCCGGGTACAAAAAAAAAAAAAAAAATGACATTAAATAACACAACAGATTGGTTTATGTCGTACATCCGGAAAATTAATCCATCTTCATATTTTTTTAGTATTCTTACTGCCTCCAGCCAACTTTCTCTGTAGCTGTTCCGAGTTCTCATTTAATTAAGGACATGACCATAAATTTTATTTTTCATTTCCCGCAGTAATAAAATTGGTGAATCGTATTTAAATTCCTACCGTATGTGTTGCGTTCATGTATGAAGTAGTGCCCTTAGAGAATGCCACATCTCTATCTCGTCTCTCCATGTGTAAGGGTCAAATAGTAGACATCGTCCTGAGTGGCAAGAAGTCTAAGTGAAGACGTTTTCAGAATTCAAGATTGTCGAAATGATAATAGGATACCATGATATTTTCTTCACCATAAAATTATCGTAGTTCCCAGGTAAGGGGGTACGATAATGATGATGATGATCATCATCATTGTCACATCATTATTATTATTATTGTTACATAGAAGAAGAGGTTTGTCGCAACTACAATTTTATCATTAACTCATAATTTCTGGCTGGCATGCTTTCGAATATTTTATTATGACGGAATTCATTTTTTTTTTGCTCCCAATTTACGCCAATTTAATGACTTTTCCTGATTGGCCCAGGTTATTCTAAAAACTGGCAGTTAACCCGGATATTAGGAGTGAACCCTGCCTCTCACTCCCTCTTTCTCTCTCTCTCTCTCAGTCATTCTCGGCCACACGCATACACACACACAAAAGCATGCACACTGACATCTGCAAACTTACGTAGTTGATCACAAATTATGAGGTGATTATGGAAAGCGACGAGGCGTATCCTTGATGAAAAACGATTTATAAAAATATTCAAGTTTATCTGGAATTGCTCGGTTTATGTCAATTTTCTTCGCTATTTAATTCTGAATTCATTATTTTCAAAATAAAGTACTCAAAAAAGAAAGATACTAGAAAAAGATACGAATTTCTTTTTTGATTTAAACATATGAAAGAAACGTCATGTCATCAGCAACCGGGATATTTCATAAGTAACATTTTCGCAATATTATGCTTTTTTCATAAAAGGAAACTGTTAATGACATGGAAAACATAATAATATAGTTTATGAATAAGGAAATGCAGTTGATCGAATGTGTCAAAAGTTGCTTGGGATATTTCTCTGAGTATATGAACATGTTTGAGTGTACCAGATGTGATTGATTTTTATCACTTTATTATTGGAGAATAATCAAAGCTATAAGACCCTAGAGACAATAAACATATTGAAAACACGCAAATACAAT